CGACCACCAATGTCTTCTAATCAAGCCCATTAAAAGACAGAAAACTCCGGTTACGTCAAAAAAAATTAGATTGATGAAACGAGCAAATTTAAATGACCTCTCCCTGAATATGGCTTCTGAAGATTGGACTACTGTATATTCAGCACTGGATGTGGATGAGAAAGTATCAGCTTATAACTCCATTATAATCAAGATGCTTGACGAGTTCTTACCTGAAAAAAACATCAGAGTACATCACTCTGATAAACCGTGGATCACCGGTAATATTAAAATGCAAATCAAAGCTCGTCAGAAGGCCTTTTCTCGTGGTGATCAGCCAAGATACAAACAACTATGCGAGAAAGTGGCAAATCTTATATCTAAAGCTAAAGCCACCTACTATCGGTCCAAGGCCTCAGAATTTCGTACCTCGAATCAATCGAAGTGGTATAACTGTATCTACTCTTTAGTAAATGCCGAAAACACAACCCACACCCAATTTCCACACAGGCCCGAACACCTAGACTTATCCGACTTAGCTGAAAAACTTCAGAAAGCCTTCACTAAACCATGGTCGGACCGTTACACGAATGTCGCCTTTGAAATACCTGAAGTGAACCACCCACATAAGAATAACAAACCACCCCTTCCTTCTATTGGCCAAGTTAAAGCGGTCTTAAAACATCTTAATCCAAGAAAAGCAACTGGCATCGATAAGGTTCCTGCATGGATGCTCAAACAATACCACGAAGACCTAGCTCCTGTGGTTTATGACATTGTGTGCTGTAGTATAAATCAATGTTGTTATCCATCACTCTACAAACATGCCCTAATTTCCCCTGTTCCTAAAGTGCAACCGCCGAGAGACATTAACAATGATTTCCGCCAGATATCAGTCTTACCCCATCTTGCCAAGATCCTGGAAAAGATCCAGCTCCAGTTAAATATTGAAGATCTGAAAATTAAGAATAACCAGCACGCGTTTACTCAACATCGAAGCACAGTCTCTGCGTTAATATCAACTACCCAAACCTGGTTTAATGCCACTGATTGGTCAAAAACAGGCAAAATGGGGGTTCATGCGGCCTTCATTGACTTTCGTAAGGCCTTCGACCTTGTGGATCACAATATTCTTTTGAACAAATTAGCAGCTATGAACATAAATAAACCCTTCTGGTTATGGATTAAAAGTTTCCTTTCCGGAAGAGTTCAACAAGTAAATCTCCATGGTACCTTATCATCCATTGCAACATGCCCGGCCGGAGTCCCGCAAGGCTCTGTAATATCTCCCATTCTTTTTAATACCTACATTGATGATTTGGAGGACGCCTTACCAGAACAACTAAAAGTCAGTACGAATAAGTATGCAGATGACTGCACACAACGGGCCAAATAGTGAGCGTAGATTCTAATAGTAATTTACAACAATCTATCAATGAAGTAAATAACTGGGCGGTGTTAAATAAAATGGCAATTAATGCTAAAAAACTAAGGACATGTGGATCTCTTTCACGGACGCTATACCTGAACCACCACGTCTTCGTATTGGAAATGAGTTAATAGAAAGGGTCAACGCTTTTAAATTACTTGGCGTGTCGTTCCAAAATAATCTAAAATGGAACGCACATGTTGAAGAGATTACACGTAAAGCAAATAAACGCCTTTACCATCTTAGAGAATGCAGGAAATCGCCGTTACCAGCTGAAGTCGGTATTATTACCTATCAATCCAAAATAAGACCAATTCTCGAGTATGCATCACCTGTCTGGGCGGGACTCCCTAATTACCTGCGAGATGAAATAGAGCGGGTTCAATCCAGGAGCTTTTAAAAGAATCCTTGGCCTGGAAAAAGATTACCTACCACCGTTGAACGAAAGAAGGGAAGAGGCAACTAGTCGAGAAGTTGATAGGTTTATGAACGATCCACACCATCCCTGTCGCAGTGTTTTGCCAAAATTAATTAACAATCAGTACAATTTAAGGAACATTGACCGGAATCGCAATATATCATTCTTCTCAGGAACTGAAAGGCATAAACATTCTTTTTCAGGAAGAGCTTGTAAATATGTATAAATAGTTTTAACTTATTAGAAGAACTTATTAGATTAAAGAACTTATTAGTTTTAACTTCTTAGTTAGTTTTCTAAATTATCTTACAACAATTTGTAATATAAAGACATATCCGCAGCATATATACTTTCTTAAACAAGTAATTGTAAGTCCATTGTACTTTTTTATCTTAAGATGGATGAATAAAGCTATTATTATTATTATTATTATTATTATATATATATATATATATATATATATATATATATATATATATATATATATATATATATATATATATATATATATATATATATATATATATTGCACAAGTGAACATAACAAATCCTACAAGTTGATTGGTCAAATTTGACGTATTAAACTGTTATATTCACCTACAGGTGAATATAACAAAAACGAAATTTTCAAAATGGCGGCTAGCCGTTTTGTGGACGTTATACTGATAAAGAAATAAGCGAAATTAAAATAAATTCAGTCCCAAAAAAACACAAAAATTGTAAAACAATTATTCGCCTCAGGCTCGGTGATTATCGGGGAATATTCACCTCGACTTCGTCTCGGCGAATATTCTCCGATAATATGCACATATATATATATATATATATATATATATATATATATATATATATATATATATATATATATATATATATATATATATATATATATATATATATATATATATTGCGGCATTATTCATCGCCAACAAAATTTAAAAACAGAAAACTTTCAGACCCAGCATACAGTATCACTTGCTAATTTACCCGAGTAGAATATAGATAGAAAATCGGAACCGAAAGAAAGATTCTTTGAACTAGTATAAGCATATAAGCTATCCACACTCACCGACTTTACTGTATTGCATGTATTACTGAAAATACTTAAAATTCCCGTAATGTGTGACATTGTGCATGTGACCCTAGCATATAATCATAACCAAATTGTAGTATAGAACCCTAATTTAGAAGTACCTGATGTAATATAGCAGAGTGTATAGATACCAAAAATATATTGATTCATATATACATATTGGAATGATTGGATTGTTCTGTTATTGTACTGTCGGTGGAAAACACCGTAAACTAAGGCCCCGTTTACACTATACCGGAATGCTATCGGAGTGGGTCAAATTTTGTAGGTATCGAAAGGCTGTGAAGATTTTTAATCTCAGAGACCCAAATAAACATGCCAATTCTGTCAAACTAATAAGCATTTGCTACTAACCATTGCTCCGTAACGGCAAAAGATGTCGTGGTGACCAGCGAATCTGGTATAGTGTAAACAGGGCCTAAGATCCGTTTATGGGGACAAATCAACATGCACATCACTGGCACTGCATGCAATTTTCCCTGCCGGTTTTCCTTGACAAGGTTCATTTGCTCGTGCGTACGGCAACTGTTGACAACATTTCCTTGCCAAGGAGTCAAGTTCCAAAGCTAGTCATGCCAGCTTTAAGCCGGTTACAGACGAGTTTGACTAATGGTCGCGGGTCGCGGGTAAAAAGTCGCGTGTCGCGGGTAGAATGTCGCGGGTCGCGGGTAAAATGTCGCGGGTAAAAAGTCGCGGGTCGTAAAAAAGCTCCAAACCGTGTATTTTATTGAGTCGCGGGTTGAATAAAGTGTGTAAGAATCACGTTATCATTTACTGAACAGCTATATAGGATTGCTTCAATACGAAATATTGCCAAAGAGCCTTTTGTCACGATTTAATGAGTTTGACTAATGGTCGCGGGTAAAAAGTCGCGTGTAGAATGTCGCGGGTAAAATGTCGCGGGTAAAAAGTCGCGGGTCGTAAAAAAGCTCCAAACCATGTATTTTAGAGTCTCGGGTTGAATAAAGTGTGTAAAATCACGTTTTCATTTAGTAAACAACCATATAGGATTGCTTCAATACGGAGCATTGCCCAAGAGCCTTTTGTCATGATTTAATGGTTCAATATAAACGTGCCAGAAGCCTAAAACTTGAAAGAATAATTTCAATATGTTAAACCAACAATTATACCATGACAAAAATCCTCTAATCAAAAAAATGTTCTGAAAGAAACAAACAAGACTTTGGTAGAAATAAATTCAGTTTACCACTACTATTACAATCAGTTTTATACCAATTTAAAAACAACCATATAGTATCACAAATAATAGATTTATCCATGCTAGGACATTATAAAAGTACATTATGATTCACCAACAACCCGGATATTTAAGTCGTTGTTCTCTAGCAGTTGTTTCTGGAAAGTACTGATCGATGCGCAGAGGCTTGACGACAACGCGCACTGAGCCACTGAATAGCGGATTTTTACGCCTGATATGGTAGAAATTGGATGCCTATGTATTACTAAAATCAGGACTATAAGCATAGGAATGTGTAACAGGATCCTTTTGCACAACCGGACCACCGTCTATCAACGTGCTTTACAATAATGTTATATGGTTCTTGTCTATACTTATCTAGAAACTCGCAATTGCAGCCATAACATCTTCGAACAACTATTGATAAAAACCATTAAATAACTAATAAATGATAACGTGATTTTTACACACTTTATTCAACCCGCGACTCAATAACGAAGTATGACGAAGAAATGTGTATTTTTATTTTTTTCCCAAATAATCACCTATGAAATTATACTAAAACAATTATTCGCCTTAGGCTCGGTGGTTATTGTTAAATGAAAACTTCGACTTTGTCTCTGTCCCTACTTACCGATAATCACCTAGCCTTCGGCAATAAATTGTTAATTATTTCTATTTTCTATAATTATATTCATATTTTGTAAAGGGCCCACTGTAATTGGTGTTAAGCTGTTGTGGTGTCCCAGCTTCTTTAATGCATTCATTGTATAATGTTTGGAAGCGAAGCACAATAAATAAATAAATAAATAAATAAATAAAATACACGGTTTAGAGCTTTTTTACGACCCGCGACTTTTTACCCGCGACATTTTACCCGCGACACGCGACTTTTTACCCGCGATACGCGACCATTAGTCAAACTCGTTAGTCAAACTCGTTACAGACGAGCAAGTTTTCTATGACAAATTTTTATGTGACAAGTTATATTTGGCAAGTGCACGTGGTTATATGCAACAAATTTTATTATATATGACAAGTTTTATTTACTGATGTGAACGTGTCAACAAGTTTACTTTGACAATTTATTAGTGGCCAGCAATGTAACAGTACAGCGGACAACGCGAGCGCTGGCCAATCACATCAAATGCTCAAATTACTTTGACAAGTTTTCTTTGTTGACCCATACAGACGAACAAATTTTTACTTTGACAATTTTTACCACTAGGACAAGTGTACTTGTTCAAAAGCTAGCATGCCAGCTTTTGAACAAGTGCACTTGTCATAGAAAAACTTGTCAAAGTTGCGCGTACAGACGAGCAAATAAAACTTGTCACATAAAAACTTTTCTTGACAAGTTTCCCTTGACAAGTTTTCTTGCTCATTTCAAAAGGTCTTTTATTCTGCAGTTAAATAGAATTTTCCCATTGATTATAGACTATTTTTTATCTTGTCGAAAAAAGTATATTCCCGGAAAGAGCATACTAAAATTAGTAAAATTGCCAAGTTTGGTTGCGAAATGTCGTAAAATACGGAAAATATAGTCTTGCAAAGTTCGCAAATTTTGTATACTTTTGTATTGCGTGCGGAAATTGCTACCAACATGCATTTGGGTCGAAAATGGTAGCAATTTCCGCACAATACAAAAGTATACAATAATACAAAATTTGCAATGGCTAGGCTATACCGAACTTTGCAATTTTACTCATTTTTGTATGCTCTTGTACGCGATTTATTTGCATCTCCTTGCCCAGTTTTAAAATTAGTCTAATAATGGGAATTGTCTATTCTTTGCTTGTGACAAACTGTTGCCATGTTACGCACGAGGTTGCGTATACTGAAACATTTTGATACATCACCATTGTACGTAATTCTGAATCAAATGCCAATTACAGGAAATCGGTTTAGAAATTTAATACTTTGAAGGTCATTATCGCCTTGATATTGTTAAGACGCTCTGCAGCTAATCCTTGGGGCATATATCAAACATACATTCACAAAGCATGCTAAAATTATAACCAAATGACAACTTTTTAAGCTTTAGTGTATTAAGTTTAATCCAGTCTGGCGTATCGTATTAACGCTTTAAAATTTCTGGTCAGTTATCCAAAAATCTATGAGAGTTCTGTGAGTTTAAAAGTTTCTAGTCTTTTTGAAACTGTACGATCTCTGATACTGAAAAACTAGAACTTTATAGTTCAGATTGCACAATTCCTCGAGGTATCAAATTTCTACCATCTTTGTTTGCGGATCATGCCTTAACAATAGTTTGTTTGCGTTTGGCTGTGTGGTTGTGTGCTTTGCTTAGCGCATAGCAACCGCTTGTAGTAACTTTAAGCGAATAATAATACTGTACAATATTGGCCGACTGTCGCAAAGGATTTTTGACAGGATTTTTACATCCAAGGCAACGTAAACTTGACTGACGCATGGTGAAATTTTCAGTCGATGAAATCTGTTGACTTTGGAGACCAAACATGGAATCTGGTCGACAGTCCAGACAGAAGATAGAGTCCCAAAGAATACGTCTTGCTGAAGCAATCACTAATGGCAGACTCTATCAGACCAAAATGATCTTAGTGGACTTCACAAATTTAAACTACCTAGATGAGGAAGGCCTGAGTCCTTTAATGCGGGCTTTTATGATCGAAGACATAAAACACCGCACTAGGTCAGCAATGGTGAAGCTTCTTATACACCATAAGGTAGACGTGAACTTACGCGACAAATATGGGCAACATGTGTTAAACTGGGCTTGTAAAATGAATAAATTTGACTTGGTTAAATTACTACTCGAGAAATGCCTACAGGATGTCGAGCTTACGTCGCAAGATCGCGAGGGAAACACGCCACTTATCTGCGCGGTTATTAACAATAATGTAAATATGGTTAAGTTACTCGTGAGCGCTTTGAAAAAGTTTTCCTTAAGTGTTGACCACAGAAACAACCAGGACAAGACTGCTTATTTGAAAGCGTTGGAAATGGGTTTTAACGAATGCGCGAGCATCTTGTCCAAAGTGGGCAAAGCATCTCAGGATATTAAGGTGAACCCGTTTCTAGATTTCCTCCCTATCCCGAATACGGGATCCTCCGAGAAAATCCGAGCTCGTTCGGCGCCATTACCTAAAGATTACAGTAACATCAGACAAGGATACAAGGATTCGAAACAGTCCATGGTTAATCAGACAAGCACATGTGTTAATGACTCGCTTTTTGATGGAAACCGGTCACATTTTACGCGAAATAAAAAGCAGAGCAACAGGCTCTTCAAATCCAGAAAAATCCATAGCGTTGTTTCTCAGAAAACCCAAGAGGAAAATTCTAAAACGTCTTCGCATAAAACAACCAAAAGTGACAAGACAAAAAGTGCGAAAGTCGTGAAAAATGGTCACAATGTTAAAATTTTTGTTCAAGATGAGGAATTCAACACAACATCTGGGCATGATGGAGTACTGGATAAAAATGAACCAAGGAATAGTTTGGGAAAATCAAGGGAAATAAATTCAGTTGCGAAAACGAAAGGCCCTCTTCTACGTCTCTTACTGGACAAATCACAAAGTCAAAGTTCGAGTGCTCAGCATTCGCCTCGAAGTAGCGTGTCTTATACTTCATGTAATCAAATTGTGAAGGGCAAATCTAGAGCTATTCTGCCAACCAGTCCATGGAGCAGACGAAACAGTCAAGATTATAAACCATTCTTGTCAAGTGTTAATGGTTACTTCGCTGATAAACAGGTGAGACTCAGTGGGACTATAGCATTTCTCCTTTAAACGAGCTTACGAAAGTCAGGGTTCTGCTTGGTTTTGCTGGAGACAAAACTCCCTTAAGTTTTCCGAATATATTTTCGATCGCCACTTTGGTTTAAGTAAAAAATGCAATCCCCGAAAAAATCACTCTCACGACCAATACTCATAATCGTCGCTTTGCAGCCGCGCCGAGCTGGCCCAAAAACACTTTGCGAGAAAAATGCTGTGCTTTGTAACACCGCGGTCAAACGTAAAGCGCATGCGCGAGCAGTGGCGTAAGGCATATTTGGTGTGGGGGCCCCTGTTGACTGTTGTCATTGTTTGACTGAGATATTATATTTATATTGAATATTTATAGAATGTTCTGGAAAATTCCATGTCTATAACAATAACAGTCTCCAACACATGTAACAACTAATAAAAATAAATTTTGTTTTATTTTTGAGATGGAATAAAAAAATCAGCTACCGTTGTCGATGGAGGCTTTATTATTTAGTATTACTTACCAATTTTGCGTTTTCCCATTTTATACGTTTTCTAATTTTCTAGGCGATAGACAGTAGCTGATGGAGGCCCCTAACTGTCGGGGGCCCTTAGTTTTTAAACTAACCCTACACAATGAGGACCAATGACCGTTACGCCACTGTGCGCGAGTATACGGAAATGGCGGGAAACTGGTACTTGTCTGATATATCTGGTTGTCATAGACTACCCCCCCCCCCCAAAGTATGTTCCATGTCGTAACATTTATTGTACTTTACAACTTTTAAGCCGTTTGATGATAACAACGAATCTCATGGGAAAACGTTTGCGAGCTATCACTCATACCTCGTGTGGAAAGCCTCTCTGGACCATCCGCCGAACTCGTTACAAAATTTCCTCGCATTACAGGCCGAACAGCGCTCGGAAAGTTCGTCGTATCGGAAAGGAATCATAATTCCGAAGTACGAACCTACTTCGGATGACTCCGCATACGATCGGAGCGGCGGCGCGACGTCGCCCATTTCCGAACGTAGTAGCAAATCAGAGGCTGGCAGAAGAATTTCAGCAGTTGCAAAAACTGTCGGACTGTCGATATACTTGAACAGACGAAAACTGTCGTACAAAAAAGATAACTGATGCAAACAATTCGTAATGATTGACACTTCCCAACTAAACAGGATCACATTGTCAGCTTCGAGTATTTGGGAAGTGCGCATGCCAAAGTACAGTCAGATGCTTGCATATTTCTTATTATATATAATCGTTATAATACAACATAATGAAGATTGACTTTTTTCTGTGTTGGTGTAATGTACTCAGGTGAATATGATGTTTGTGATGTTACTCTTAGTGTATATTCACACCGGACAAGCTTGAAAAATCTGCCTGGCCATGGTGGGAATTGAGCCTACGCGGACCTTTGGAATACTAGCCCAATGCTCTGCCAATTGCTCTGCCACTTGTCCAGTGTGGATATACACAGCCCAATGCTCTCAACTTGTCCAGTGTGGATAACCTATACATAGTAACATCACAAACCTCATAATGAAGATGCTTTTTATTATGGCTATGTTTCCACTATACCTGACAGCTTTCCGTAGCGGAGCGAAAGCACCTATCCAATGCGGAATGTACAATTTTCAGAAGCTGAGCGAAACAACATCTCTCCTTGCAATATTAATTCCTCTGAAAAGAGCGTTCCTAAAAGGTACGGATAGGTGGTTTTTTCCACGTCGCTACGGAAAGCTATACAGTATAGTGTAAATGTAGTCCATATCGTCCGCAGGCGGTTTCCCGCCATCAGAAATATTAAAGGAATACCGAATGGTTTTCCGTGCAGGATTGCGTGATCCATGCACGAGGGATGTCGCGAGACTTTCGGAAAGCGTAAAAATACTCGAGCCGCAGGCGAGTGTATTTTTACGCTTTCCGAAAGTCGAGCAACATCCCAAGTGCATGGATCACGCTATTCTGCTTGGAAAACCATTTGGTAATTAAGCTCTTTGTATGTTTGCATGGCGATAAAATACATAATAGTTTGGTAATATTTGGTAATTGTTTTATAAAATAACTACAGTGAAACAATGACATTTTGAGAAACCCGCGAAAGCATTTTAATTCCTCGTGCAGGATAGCCTGATCCTGCATGGCTAGTGACCAATCAAATTGCGTGTTTCACTGTAGTTATTATATAAACAGCGTTCTTATCTAGGAGTAATGGGTGGATAATCAGCGCGTGCGTGCAATGTTGGCTATATATTATCTTGTCTTACTTTAATTTCCTTTCTTCCTCGTATACGTTGATCCGTCAGGTTTACCAAATATTACTTCGCTTGCCATGTTTATAAACAGGCCTGTCTCAACAACACCTTAAGAATGTATCAAAAGGCACGCTCAATGTCCATATAAACTCATCCCCAGACCCCAATTTAATAGACCTTATGCATAATGACGTCACAAGGCTTGACTCCCGCGAGGAATGCTGGTCTTAGCAGTCATCGCGCGGGGAAATTAAACAATTAAAAATGGCCACTATCGAAATTTTCCTGGGCGATGACTACAAGACCAACATTCCTCGGGGGCATCAAGCCTTGTGACGTCATTATGCATAAGGTCTATTGCAGGCAATGGTGACAGCTTTAAACTAAGATCGGTACCAGGCCGATTTAAAGGCACAGTTCAGCCTTTTGAACGATGTTTTTTAAGGCGCATTTCAGCCCTTTTAATTGAAAAAACTAACTAGGAAAATATTAAGCATAATTCAAAATCAGTAAACTCGATGTTTTTAACAATAAAAATGTTTTAAAATGTTAAAAACATTAAGTTTGGTGATCTTGAATTACTTAATTGATTTTCCTAGTTAGTTTTTTCAATTAAAAGGGCTGAAATGCGCCTTAAAAACCCTCATTCAAAAGGCTGAACTGTGCCTTTAATATTGCTTTATTGGTGGACAATCGATATCGGTAAAAAAAATTTTCTCGATTGTACACATACATGTATAACCGATTATTACAGCAACTCTTTAGCTGTATAGTGAGTTCTTAATTTTTTTATCATCAGATGCCAAGGAAGCAATTTTTAAGTCGTATATTATGCCAATTTACATGCAAAATGAAAGATCTCATTTGACTATTTTTAAAAATCAGAGTCAGGAATTTCCGATTGTGGAAGATCGGTCACTTAATAGCATCAATCCTAATCTTCAATCACCAACTCTTACCTGGTATCATAACTACTTCCCTGTTTAGTTCTTCCCAATTCTCAACCTGAAAAGAGAAGAGTGTAAAATGTATAATCATGAACTGTCTTTGCCACTGCAGGTAGTGCCAATCAAATAAAGTCTGGAATTATTTCTTACATGGTCTAATGATGACTCGAAACAATAGGGCCATTTATACGGGACAAAATAAGTCGCGTCTTACATAAGACGCGTCTTACATAAGCTGAGTTATCGCGTAAATGGTTCTTTACGGATTTATTCTTATTTACTTGCTATAGCTATAATGTTGTTTCGGTTGTTTTTGTTCGAATAAGCAAGGCTAATAATTTTACGTTGTTTCAAGTTTCGGGCATGTGTAGTTAGAATTTTTGTCTAAAATTTCTTATTTAAGACGCGACTTAAATAAGAACAGCTAAAAGTCCTGTTCTTATGTAAGACGCGTCTTATCCAAGACGCGTCTTACATAAGAATTTTGTACCTTTTATACGACAAACTCGCGTCTTATTTAAGTCGCGTCTTATGTAAGTCGCGTCTTATTTTGTCCCGTATAAATGGCCCTAATGTTTGAACTTACATTTCCAAATTGAAAATCTATTATAAAATTGCCATTATCTGTCACCACTGGACCCTAAAAAAGAAAATTAGTAAAACGTGACCACTGTAACGTCGTTTCGGGACCTACATATAGACGGTGAGTTGTCCTTTATTTTCTAACCAAATACACCCGGAATTTAGACCCCGCACTTACGGCCTTTTCTTTAGCCATTCTCAGAACAGGAGTGAGACCCAGTCCTCGCATGGCTAACATGACTGGACTATATGCCATGGGAATAACTTCTACGGGAACACCACGTTTCCACTGGAAAAGATGTTCACAATGTATTAACATTTATCACCACCAAGGCTAATTATGGTAATAATACGTAAAACCGTACTGACCTGTTGGCCAAAATGCTTTGAATCTTTCCTGAAAAGTAAATGCAATTTCCAAATGAGCTTACTAGTTGTTTTAGAAACCGAGAAAATAGATTCAAACCCTTTGCAGCCAATGTTGGTCAACCACGCAGCAGTTTACAGTATAGCCTGAAGGGGTCAATACATTTGTAGCAGTTTGTATTTGTAAGTTCCCAAAATATAACCACATTTTGCAGCTGAAATCTTTGTTGTTTTTTTGCCTTCATACAATATATAGCTTAATTTATAGCCTTGATTAATGCTTTCATGGTTGAAAAAGTGTTGTTGCAGCTTTGCCACACAGTTATTCTACTATCATTTCAGAAATTATAAGGGAAGGGCCCTTGGGGTGCCACCAGTTGCCCCCCCCCCCCAGTGCCCACCATGATCACACTTGTTGATTGTGAAATGATAAAAAACATGCGCATAGTCATTGATGCTGCATGTGTATGGAAAATAGATATTAAATGAAGTAGGATAAAATTTTACCTTTCGTCTGCAACCACGATAAAAGTATCAGCACACGAAGCAACAATTTTCTCTTGTGTCAAGCAACCCCTTGAATAGAAAATTTTTTTCATAAAAGTGAAGCCATAGACAAATACGTAGAAAATCGGAGTGATCACTGCTCAAGGGCATGAGAATTTTTTCAAAACGCCATGTGGAGTACACCAGTACGGAATTTTTAACAGTTTAATACGGAATTTCATTATCTTTCCATTTTTCGTGATTTTGTGGAATTTTAAGCTCCGAAATAAAAATTCTCTCCATAAAAAAATTTCTTTGGATGTAGTTCTGGCAGACTTACCCTCCTCCTTTAATCAGATTCAATGATTCATCCACTTCGTCCGCACCGTCAAATGCAACATCAAGCTTAAAATGATTTAAAAGAATAGCTTTGTATAGTAAAGGCAGATGAACCGACTAAACAAATTTCATTCAAAATAAAGATAAATTTGTATAGACATATAACTCATCCTCAAAGATGTTAACAAAAAGGGTAATCACCGACTGCTAAGCAAAAAAAACCCTAGGTTTCCGACCTATACCCAGCTTTTGGCTGCTGAATTCACTGGCCCTGTTTTTATTTTTTATTTAATGAGTGTTTGTGCCATGGGCATTTATTACAAAAAAAATTTTAAAAAAGAAAATCCAACCTACCCTATACCTTTAAGCATGCTGCTCCTCTAATGTGGAACTCTCTCCCACTTAACATTAGGCGGTGTGAAACTGTTAACTGTTTTAAAACTCATTTAAAGACATTTCTATTTAGGAAGGCGTATAAATAGACTAATTTTTAAGAATTAGTAGTGTACAGTACATATAGTTTTAATTTTTTAGGATAACTCTGTGATTGTTGACACGTACCCAGCTTTTTAGAATATAGTTTTAGTTATTATTGTAAATTTTACCATTGTACAGCGCTTTAGAATATTCCTTGATAGATTAAGCGCTATATTTAAATACTCAGATTATTATTACCTACATTTTGCAACAAGAAATAGGGAACCCACCCAGATATTGTTTATTTGGCCTTTATTGTCGACTTATATTTGCACAAACTGCTAGCATTTCAACCTGTAGACCCAGGCCTTTTATCTCTCAGATTTCCCAGTTTATTGTATTTTTGGCAGGAGGGCCGAGAAAAGGAAGGACTGCTTGGCTTGGAGGGGAATAGGTTTTCGGAGATCATCGGATTTCACAAAAAAAATTGGTCGGATTTCGGATCTGGCGAATATTTTACATGGATTTTCGGATCTTATTAATACAGCGGATTCTAATATTTTGGCTCGGATTGTGGATTTAGCGTGCAATTTAGTTCGGATCCCGGATTGTGACTTCATAGTAGAGGTTTTAGCGGATTCGAATTTAGCCAAAACCATTGTCTGCATTTCAGCACAACCCACGTGATTGCAATTTACCTTGGGATTTCTACTCAGGTCAGTAAGATATAAACCATTTTCCACAATGAGTTGATTTGCCTATAAAATGTAATATTTGTAACAATTTTTATTCTTTCTTTCTTTCCTTTCATTTGGTCAAAAGCAAAGTCATAAGATGAACAACTTTCAATTTTGAGTTGAATTACTTCATCAAAATAGACAAGGTAGGCTACAGACAGTATACTTGCCTGAAATGACGTTGGCACACATTTCACTTCCAGATTTTCTTGTTTGACTCTCTCTGCTGTTAAAAAATGTAACCTATATTGCTGACCATGTTCACCAACAATTCAGCAAGGTACGCTGTTGAAAATATTATTCCAACAAAAAAAGTCAAGGAGTAGCACCAGGAATTCCCTGATGAGAAAGGCCAAGGTGGGTGCTAACTTTTGTAGATGCAGTACAATGTTTGTCCCGTCTGTTCAACCTGGGTGATTCGAGAGTATGCTGCCCAGGGCACCCTTCTGCATCTCCCCCGGAATAATCAATACTTGAACGTATACTGAAAAATGTATCTTGAAAAATGGTTAATACTCCAATTGTGTCTCTATTGTATACTGAAAAATACTCAGCATTTAACTCTTAGCAGTGACAATCCTGTTCCAACAACTTGTCAACAAGACGTCTCATCAACAGGCTTGTAGCAAGCTTGTTAACAACTGGTGACAACGCTGTTCCAATAACTTGTCAACAAGTTGTCTCCTCAACAGGCTTGTAGAAAGGTTGTTAACAAGTTGGGTTGTGACAATGCTGTTCCAAAAATCTGTCAACAAGATGTCTCCTCAACAGGTCGGTAGCAGGCTTGTTAACAAGTTGTGACAATGCTGTTCCAACAACTTGTCAACAAGATTTCTCCTCAACAGGTCTGTAGCAAGCTTGTTAACAAGTTGTGACAATGCTGTTCCAAAAATTTGTCAACAAGATTTCTCCTCAACAGGTCTGTAGCAGGCTTGTTAACAAGCTGCGACAATGCTGTTCCAACAACTTGTCAACTGGATATTTCCTCAACAGGCTTGTAGCAAGTTTGTTAACAAATTATGACAATGCTGTTCCAACAACTTGTCAACAAGATTTTTCGCACCAGGTTTCTAGCAAGCTTGTTAACAACTTGTGACAATTATGCTGTTCCAACAACTTGTCAACAAGATTTTTCGTAACAGGTTTGTAGCAAGCTTATTAACAAGTTGTGACAACGCTGTTCCAGCAACTTGTCAATAAGATGTCTCCTCAACAGGTTTGTAGCAAGCTTGTTAACAAGTTGTGACAATGTTGTTCCAAAAATCTGTCAACAAGATGTCTCCTCAACAGGTCGGTAGCAGGCTTGTTAACAAGTTGTGACAATGCTGTTCCAACAACTTGTCAACAAGATATTTCCTCAACAGGCTTGTAGCAAGCTTGTTAACAAGCTGTTACAATGCTGTTCCAGCAACTTGTCAATAAGATGTCTCCTCAACAGGTTTGTAGCAAGCTTGTTGACAAGTTGTGAGAATAATGTTGTTCCAACAAATTGTCAACAAGATTTTTCGGAACAGGCTTGCAGCAAACCTGTTAGCAAGTTGTGACAATAATGCTGTTCCAAAAACTTGTTAACAAGTTGTGACAATAATGCTGTTCCAACAACTTGTCAACAAGATGTCTCCTCATGCAACAGGCTTGTAGCAAGCTTGTTAACAAGTTGTGTTAATAATGCTGTTCCAACAACTTGACAACAAGATGTTTCGGCAATAGGCTTGCAGCACGTTTGTTAACAAGTTGTGACGATACTGTTCCAACAACTTGTCAACAAGATGTCTCCTCAACAGGCTTGTTAACAAGTTGTGACAATGCTGTTCCAACAACTTGTCAATAAGACGTCTCCTCAACAGGATTGTAGCAAGCTTGTTAACAAGTTGTGACAATGCTGGTCCAACAACTTGTCAACAAGATGTCTCCTCAAAAGGCTTGTAGAAAGCTTGTTAACAAGTTGTGACAATACTGTTCCAACAACTTGTCAACAAGATGTCTCCTCGACAGGCTTCTACCAAGCTTGTTAACAAGTTGTAACAATGCTGTTCCAACAACTTGTCAACAAGATGTCTCCTCAACAGGTCTGTAGCAGGCTTGTTAGCAAATTGTGACAAAGCCGTTCCAACAATTGTCAACAAGATGTCTCCTCAACAGGATTGTAGCAACCTTTTTAACAAGTTGTGACAATGCTGTTCCAACAACTTGTCAACAAGATGTCTCCTCGACAGGCTTGTAGCAAGCTTATTAACAAGTTGTGACAATGCTGTTCCAACAACTTGTCAACAAGATGTCTCCTCAACAGGCTTGTACCAAGCTTGTTAACAAGTTGTGACAATAATGCTGTTCCAACAACTTGTCAACAAGACATTTCCTCAACAGGCTTGTAGCAAGCTTGTTAACAAGTTGTGACAATGCTGTTCCAACAATTTGTCAACAAGATTTCTCCTCAACAGGTCTGTAGCAGGCTTGTTAACAAGCTGCGACAATGCTGTTCCAACAACTTGTCAACTGGATATTTCCTCAACAGGCTTGTAGCAAGTTTGTTAACAAATTATGACAATGCTGTTCCAACAACTTGTCAACAAGGTTTTTCGCACCAGGTTTCTAGCAAGCTTGTTAACAACTTGTGACAATTACGCTGTTCCAACAACTTGTCAACAAGATTTTTCGTAACAGGTTTGTAGCAAGCTTATTAACAAGTTGTGACAACGCCGTTCCAGCAACTTGTCAATAAGATGTCTCCTCAACAGGTTTGTAGCAAGCTTGTTAACAAGTTGTGACAATGTTGTTCCAAAAATCTGTCAACAAGATGTCTCCTCAACAGGTCTGTAGCAGGCTTGTTAACAAGTGCGACAATGCTGTTCCAACAACTTGTCAACTGGATATTTCCTCAACAGGCTTGTAGCAAGTTTGTTAACAAATTATGACAATGCTGTTCCAACAACTTGTCAACAAGGTTTTTCGCACCAGGTTTCTAGCAAGCTTGTTAACAACTTGTGACAATTACGCTGTTCCAACAACTTGTCAACAAGATTTTTCGTAACAGGTTTGTAGCAAGCTTATTAACAAGTTGTCACAACGCCGTTCCAGCAACTTGTCAATAAGATGTCTCCTCAACAGGTTTGTAGCAAGCTTGTTAACAAGTTGTGACAATGTTGTTCCAAAAATCTGTCAACAAGATGTCTCCTCAACAGGTCTGTAGCAGGCTTGTTAACAAGCCGCGACAATGCTGTTCCAACAACTTGTCAACTGGATATTTCCTCAACAGGCTTGTAGCAAGTTTGTTAACAAATTATGACAATGCTGTTCCAACAACTTGTCAACAAGATTTTTCGCACCAGGTTTCTAGCAAGCTTGTTAACAACTTGTGACAATTATGCTGTTCCAACAACTTGTCAACAAAATTTTTCGTAACAGGTTTGTAGCAAGCTTATTAACAAGTTGTGACAACGCTGTTCCAGCAACTAGTCAATAAGATGTCTCCTCAACAGGTTTGTAGCAAGCTTGTTAACAAGTTGTGACAATGTTGTTCCAAAAATCTGTCAACAAGATGTCTCCTCAACAGGTCGGTAGCAGGCTTGTTAACAAGTTGTGACAATGCTGTTCCAACAACTTGTCAACAAGATATTTCCTCAACAGGCTTGTAGCAAGCTTGTTAACAAGTTGTTACAATGCTGTTCCAGCAACTTGTCAATAAGATGTCTCCTCAACAGGTTTGTAGCAAGCTTGTTGACAAGTTGTGAGAATAATGTTGTTCCAACAAATTGTCAACAAGATTTTTCGGAACAGGCTTGCAGCAAACTTGTTAGCAAGTTGTGACAATAATGCTGTTCCAAAAACTTGTTAACAAGTTGTGACAATAATGCTGTTCCAACAACTTGTCAACAAGATGTCTCCTCAACAGGCTTGTAGCAAGCTTGTTAACAAGATGTGTTAATAATGCTGTTCCAACAACTTGACAACAAGATGTTTCCGCAATAGGCTTGCAGCACGTTTGTTAACAAGTTGTGACAATACTGTTCCAACAACTTGTCAACAAGATGTCTCCTCAACAGGCTTGTTAACAAGTTGTGACAATGCTGTTCCAACAACTTGTCAATAAGACGTCTCCTCAACAGGATTGTAGCAAGCTTGTTAACAAGTTGTGACAATGCTGGTCCAACAACTTGTCAACAAGATGTCTCCTCAAAAGGCTTGTAGAAAGCTTGTTAACAAGTTGTGACAATACTGTTCCAACAACTTGTCAACAAGATGTCTCCTCGACAGGCTTGTACCAAGCTTGTTAACACGTTGTGACAATGCTGTTCCAACAACTTGTCAACAAGATGTCTCCTCAACAGGTCTGTAGCAGCTTGTTAGCAAATTATGACAATGCCGTTCCAACAACTTGTCAACAAGATGTCTCCTCAACAGGATTGTAGCAACCTTTTTAACAAGTTGTGACAATGCTGTTCCAACAACTTGTCAACAAGATGTCTCCTCAACAGGCTTGTACCAAGCTTGTTAACAAGTTGTGACAATAATGCTGTTCCAACAACTTGTCAACAAGACATTTCCTCAACAGGCTTGTAGCAAGCTTGTTAACAAGTTGTGACAATGCTGTTCCAACAACTTGTCAACAAGATGTCTCCTCAACAGGCTTGTAGCAAGCTTGTTAGCAAGTTGTGACAATGCTGTTCCAACAACTTGTCAACAAGATGTTTCGTAACAGACTTGTAGCAAGCTTGTTAACAAGTTGTGACAATGCTGTCCCAACAACTTGTCAACAAGATGTCTCCTCAACAGGCTTGTTAACAAGTTGTTACAATGCTGTTCCAACAACTTCTCAACAAGATTTTTCGTAACAGACTTGTAGCAAGCTTGTTAACAAGTTGTGACAATGCTGTTCCAACAACTTGTCAACAGGATGTCTCCTTGACAGGCTTATACCAAGCTTGTTAACAAGTTGTGACAATGCTGTTCCAACAACTTGTCAACAAGATGTCTTCTAGACAGGCTTGTAGCAAGCTTGTTAAACAAGTTGTGACAATGCTGTTCCAACAACTTGTCAACAAGATGTCTTCTAGAGAGGCTTGTATAGCAAGCTTGTTAAACAAGTTGTGACAATGCTGTTCCAACCACTTGTGAACAAGATGTCTCCTCAACAGGCTTGTACCAAGCTTGTTAACAAGTTGTGACAATAATGCTGTTCCAACTACACACGTAAAAACGCACAAGTTGTAACAAACCTGCAGTAGACTTGTAGCAATGCTGTTCCAACAACTTGTCAGCAGGATGTGTTCGCACTGCTTGTTCCCAGCTTGTTGACAAGTTTGTCAACGGCTTGTTGGCAACTTGCTACAAGGTTGTTGAACTCAACAGACTTGTTACAAGTTGATCCAACAACTTGTTATCGTCCTGCAATTCAACAACTTGTCAACAAGTTGTGAGTGACAAGCTTGTAGCAACTTGATAAAATAACAGCATTGTCACAACCTGTTGACAAGCTTGCTACAAGTCTGTTGCGAACACATCTTGTTAACAGTAAAAATCTCACAACTTAAGTTGTGAGATTTTTACGTGTGTACTTGTCAACAAGATATTTCCTGAACAGGCTTGTAGCAAGCTTGTTAACAAGTTGTGACAATAATGCTGTTCCAACAACTTGTCAACAAGTGTCTCCTCAACAGGCTTGTATCAAGCTTGTTAACAAGTTGTGACAATAATGCTGTTCCAACAACTTGTCAACAAGACATTTCCTCAACAGGCTTGTAGCAAGCTTGTTAACAAGTTGTGACAATGCTGTTCCAACAACTTGTCAACAAGATGTCTCCTCAACAGGCTTGTAGCAAGCTTGTTAGCAAGTTGTGACAATGCTGTTCCAACAACTTGTCAACAAGATTTTTCGTAACAGACTTGTAGCAAGCTTGTTAACAAGTTGTGACAATGCTGTTCCAACAACTTGTCAACAAGATGTCTCCTCAACAGGCTTGTTAACAAGTTGTGACAATGCTGTTCCAACAACTTGTCAACAAGATGTCTCCTCAACAGAATTGTAGCAAGCTTGTTAACAAGTTGTGACAATGCTGTTCCAACAACTTCTCAACAAGATTTTTCGTAACAGACTTGTAGCAAACTTGTTAACAAGTTGTGACAATGTTGTTCCAACAACTTGTCAACAAGATCTCCTTGACAGGCTTATACCAAGCTTGTTAACAAGTTGTGACAATGCTGTTCCAACAACTTGTCAACAAGATGTCTTCTAGAGAGGCTTGTAGCAAGCTTATTAAACAAGTTGTGACAATGCTGTTCCAACAACTTGTCAACAAGATGTCTTCTAGAGAGGCTTGTAGCAAGCTTGTTAAACAAGTTGTGACAATGCTGTTCCAACCACTTGTGAACAAGATGTCTCATCAACAGGCTTGTACTGCTGTTCTGACAACTTGTCAACCAGATGTATCCTCAACAGGCTTGTAGCAAGCTTGTTAACAAGTTGTGACAATGCTGTTCCAACCACTTGAGAGTATTGCTTGTTAACAAGTGCAGTTGTAACTTTACTTGACAAAATGCCGACCCATTCTTCCAATGCTCTATATGGCTATGTTATACTGCCTCAGATCTAGCTTTGGCCCACGAAAAACAAAATTTGAATCAAGTCCATGCACTATAAAAAATGTATATCCAACAATGAAAACATGAACTTAAAGATGCCCAGTTTTTTGTGGCAAGGCAACTTGCCCAATCGGGCAAGCAAAATAAAACGTTTACTTGCCCGTCATAATATTCACTTGCCCGTCATGATATTCACTTGCCCCGGGCAAGTGTTAAAGGTGATCTACAGTCCGATCTGCGCATGTGCACAAAGGAGCCCACTTTTTATGATACAAACAGTTTAACTATGTTTTGGGTTCTTGAAAAGCCTGATTATTGTTTCTTGATCATTTATTATACTCTAGAAGCTTGAAAATATAAATAGTTGTCGAATAAAGCTCAATATTTTGGACACAATAATGTAAACAAAGGCTTTGTTTACATACGGACTGTAGAGCACCTTTAAGTTACAACTCTGTGACTCAAAAGAAAAAACAGTCATTATGTTGCATAATTGTGCCCAATGTGTCTAACCGACTAATGCCAGAAACATTTTTCCGTCAAGGGGAGAGTGCTGGGGACCAATGGGTTATTAACATTTAAAATGCACAAGTATGCACGTGAAAAATAGCAGGCATGTAATAAATGCTATAAAGGAGTAGAAAAATACCTAAACGTTGCACAGCTGGAACGATGGTGGATCCACTGCCAATGCCAATTATTTGATTGTTCTAAAGACAAATTTCTAAATATTATTTAAGTTCATTTGATACAAATTAACGATCAAACTGCACTTGCAACCTGATTATTCAATCCCTTTATTAACCAATTTATTTATATCTTACTTAAGATACAATTCGATCATTTGCTGCTGGACTGATCCAACTATCGATTGGTCATCATAATGGTATAAAATGTTAGTATAAATAGTAATCAATTATAATAATTGCTATTTTATATTGATCATCTTCGATTTATATTGCACAGGCCAGGGTTTGCTGAACTATAAATAACAACTATGTTCCCCAGAAAGTCAATGACAAATATGTTTATAACTGAGTTACTTGCATTGAGCTATCGCTCGACCTAAACAAGCGGACGTACTATATATATTTATGTTTATATATATATATGACACGTAGAATTAACCAGCATGTCATATCCTAGTGTTTTAACTTGCAGCACTGAACACCGAACACGTAAAGAGAAAATTACCTTAACATGTCGATCAATAGCAGTACAACCTGCAGCTTTCTTCGCAGCTTCCATGGATATAAAACAAACTTTCTGCACAAGTTTACAACGATGTCTAAAACACTGCACTTTTATAGCAATTCTGCAGCAAAATACTCTTTGCATGACTGATTTCAGATTTGGTGGGATGTCGCTACTTCATGTTATATATTTATATTGCTTGGATATAACGGTCTATTGTATTTTTTTTTGGATATCTTTATTTAGAGAAAAGGATTTATTCAGGATTACGGAGCTACTCATATCCTACCTCTAAAACTCTAATCGTAATCTTAACCTAAAACCTTGTGACGTTATTTCAGGATGGTAATTAAACCCCAAATTTCGCTAGCTTACCGTAAGAAGTTGAAAAAGACATACTGTATGCTTTATAACGCAAAATCAAAAATAAAAGTTCTATCAATTCGCCATCAAAGCTTGTTGTCAAAATAGTGGAGTTCTCTCACAAGAAACGTCGAGATGTTTTCAATATTTTTCGGGTAGTTCAGACTTATTGTAGAACACTACCTATATATTAGACCCTACGTACGTTTGAAACATAAAACAAAGCTTATATTGTTTAGCCAATCTCAAAATCTTTTGTCATCGTAATTCCAAAATTATTCTCCAGGTGACTTAGAACAGCTGGTATACTTCTTAATGTGTTGAACACTCTTCTCTCTGGAAAGAAAGAAGTATGATAAACATGACTTTTTCCCAGTAATGCATAGGGTGTGGATAAATTCAAATAAAATCTGGGTATTTCACTTATTTATGGTGCTTTTCCAGTGGTATCGAATTGCCCCAGTTTATACTAGAGACGGATAATTCGTCGAGACAAACATGCATGGGCGAAGAACAGATTATTCTTCCGATTATTTGACTGTATTTAAATGTGTAATCCGTCGAGACGAACTATCTAGTATGTGGCTTGTTCATCGGCTCAGATGAATTTCTGTGCATGTTGTTCTTCTTGGGTAGTTGAGGGATGATCCTCCTCGATGAGGTACATATGGACTATCAAGAAATATCAGGTATGTGGATTTGCTTCAAAGATCATTAGCAGTGTAGATGGTGCTATATATACGATTATGATTAGCATTTCTATATAGCGCAAATTTGCATGTGGATGTGACATGAGACTGAGTTTGTTTTCTTTCTATATAAGTTTGACTTGCGGGCAGTAGCGGGCTAGACAGAGAAGTGCGCGCGTGGGGGGAAGCGGAGGAATATTGGGAGTATTGTTACCTGGTTTACTGAGTATCTTCTCCAACATGTACATGAGATGATGATGGAAATGTGTAAACGAAATTCCTAAAGACAGGCTGATGTCAAGCTAAAACAGTAAAAGAAATAAAAGGTAATTGATTTGATAGATACACCATGCATGCACATTTATGTATGAACATATAGTAAAGCTTTCGCGCCAATGGTGTTCAATTCGGCTGATGTTACTCTGAGTGTCTCCACACACTGGCCAAGCTAAAAAAATGTTTGACTGCGGTGAGAATCGAACGTGCGATCTTTAGCTTGTCAAGTCCAACGCTCTGACACTTGTGGGAAAAAGCACTGTTAAACTATACATGATTTTTAGCATAACATGATATTTATTTATTTCCCACCAGATGCAAAACTACCACAGATAACGAAAAGAATTTGCAGCATTTTATCACTCATATAACGGCCGGTTGACCATCGTCAGCCGCACGACATTGCTTGGTGAAGTACACCCATGTCGAAACAAATCAACTGCAAGTAGAAGAAGACTAGTAGTGTTTACCCAATCTTGGAGACATTGCAAAGGCAGGGAATCATGTCCAGCATACATTGCAGGGTTCGTTAATATTCCTCTGGCAGCCATGACACCTAAAATATGAAAAACCTTTTTTGCAAAAACTATTAAAATTAATGTTTCTTAATATCAGGATTTAGGACATCTCACGAATACGACTCTGGTGCAGGACACAACTGCAACTGCTCCTGGTTATAGGTGTAATAAATGTACACTCCTTCAACTAATGTTGCTGCATAGCATCTATCAAGCCTTCAAGACAAAACTGAAAATCTCAATATGTATAGCGAGGGTTCAATAACAATTTTGGGCATCTTATTCGATAACACTTTTTTGCACATGGAACTTTCGTGTGTAAATTTTATACATTTTTAGACCTTTTAGGTTTAAACATTATGTTTGGTATAATGTTGGCTGACGTTGAAAAATGTTGGATCAGCCGTTTTCATAATTTTATCCAACATCGTCCTTGCATCGGAATTGCAGGGCCGCAGGTTCGATTAGAGGGCCTTTAGTTGCATTTTTCTCAGCTGGTTAGGTTTACGCGCGAAATTTCCATCCCTTCAACTACGTCTACATATGAGCACCGACACATTTTTGAAGTTGAACATACTGTACGAACCATTGACACCTGTCTTTGCACGCACGTCATTAATATCAGCTTCACATTTGATATCGCCATTAGCAACAACTGGGATTGAAACACTATCCTTGATCTAAATTGTGTTCAAATAAGAAAACTTTAGTGCAACAGAACTAATCGATCAACACATACATCCAGGGCCGCCGAGGGCTTGCGCGGGGCCAAATTTTCCCGGAGGGCCCCATGATGTCATAATTATAAAACGGGAGAAGCGGTATTTTGCAATATCTGGCACTTTATAGCATATTATCCTGCACTAACGCAGCTAGGATTCATTTTCTCAGTTAAGGTACCTCCGTTGCTTTAGGGACCCTTTCGAGATAGGGTCTCCCTTCTCTCTGGGCAGCCCTGCATACATCCAGCTCATTTAAGGACCACTAACAATGGCACTTTCAATTAACTGTTCCGATTTTTTCGGAGCCGTTCCATTTTGTGAACAGGGTTTTCTAATCCTCTTACCAACTTGATAGTTTCCAAAGAACATGGTTCTGATCGTTGCTCTATCGTTCTGCCATGAACTGTGATCCATGACACACCAACTTTCTCAGCTCTCTGGCACATATCCACAGTTCTTCTATATGCAAAGGGTACGTAGCACTCGATCAGAAACTGTCTTCGTTTTCGGTCATAACTACCTGAACTTCGTTATTTCGAACGTTATAATCTCCTACTGTTTACAAAAGGATTTTATAGGAAGTGAAAAATCATTTGGCTTATGCAGGTGTATCCCCATTCATGGGTTAATTATAACTACAGTAATAATAACCTCGTATCATGATGAATTCTAATTTTGATTGACACAGGAAAGTCATCCTCAACTCTTTGTCTGGTTTGTTGCACCATATCTTGAATTAATTCAGGATTCTTGATTAAACAAGCTCCATAGCCACTTTTTATTGCCCACCTACAGATACAAATTAATCATCTCAACTACTGACCATTGTAAGCATTCCCAAATTTCATAAGGATTTATTTTCATTATGTACGTAGTACTGTACCTTTGAGGACAACCGCAGTTTATGTCAACTCCATCTGCAAATCTAGAAATTTTTAATGAATGCAATAATATTTCATGTTGCTTTTGTGAAATAATTGACAATTGTCTGTGCAAAATATAGTTAAATATAAATCATGCAGTCATTATCCTATAACACTCATAACCTACGGGACAATCATTTCTGTAGCATCTGCCAAATCCTTTCCACATCTTGCTGCAAACTGAACGACGAGTGGACGATCCACTACATTGAAATAAAAAATACTTCATTCACTGATCGGCCCATATCCAATTGTTACCGTATATTAAATGATAGTGGTTAATTAGTTAATAAAAAATTACTATAGATTACACAAGATCAGGTTGGCCAAGGTGTATACTGCAAAACCTTCAAAGCACAGAAGAGAACCTGCATACAACAAACTCTACTTACACAGAGCTCCCATGCAAGTCTAACAGTTTACCAGTTTGTCTCCAGGTTTTGGGTCTAACTCCAGGTCTCACAGTTGGACTTACAAATCTCAAAGTATTTCAGGAAAATGATTTTATTGTGCAAATTATGCATCTTTTAATACCCGGGATATGACTTAGGACTGCACAATTTCTGTTCATTTCTAATTCTTCCAAATCCAACTAAAAATTGTTTCAGGAATGATGGCATAGCCATAGAGGGCAAAAAAACAAATATGTTCCAAGAGCATTTATATGCCTTGCAATCTTTAGCTCAGATTGTCATTTTCTAATGTAGGAAATATAGCATTCTGAAGACCGTAGAAAACACAAAATTTCAGATCGGGGCATGTCATGCAGTGAATAGACCTTTCCCCATTTAAGTGAAATTTTGATCTAGACTAGCCTGGACAATCACAGCTTGAAAGAGCATCACAAAATTAGTAATATTCCGAAGTTTCGTTGCAAAATGTTGTAAAATGCGGTCAGTCATTTTGCATTACAATCTAACATTTTGCATCAGATGATCAAACTGATGCAAAATGTTAGCTAGATTGTAATACCAAATGACTGAAAAACGGCAAACTTTGCAAGGCTATATTATCCGCATTTTACAACATTTCGCAACGAAACTTCGGAATATTACTAATTTTGTGATGCTCTTTCAAGCTGTGATGAAATTTTTGTCCAGACTTGTCTAGATCAAAATTTCACTTAAAAGGGGAAATGTCTATTGAACAATTATAATATGCTCCCCCCAGGGTCGAGCCAGGATCTGAAAATTGAGTGTCTGAATTGACCATTATTTTGGGCCATGGTAACTGACAAATACCCTATGGGGGCCAGGGGTGTTGCATACTTTTGTCACCACGTAGTATGCATTCTAATGTAGTAGTTTGGAACAGGGCCGGATTAACGTCGCGCGAGGCCTGTGGCAGATTTTCTGCATGAGGCCCCCAAGTTGGGCCCCCCCCTCCCTTTATGAAAACCTTTGAATTCAAAGACACACAAAATTGTTAAATAATTGTTTTCTATTTTATCCACAAATTACCGCAATTTCGCAGCCAAGCTATCTCCACCCGGATTTCTGAATAATTTTCCGTTACGTTAAAACTGGTTTCAAACATCAATGAAACCTTTATATTTTGCTAATTTGGGTGCTTGAACAACCTGAATTAATTGCGACAATTTGTTGGATATAATTGGGGCTTACAAATACAATTCAGTACAACATAACAAAACGTTAACGATTAACTTGGCAAAAAGTAGCTAACAAAATGTCATACAAATCAAATGTACATTAGCACAAGCATTGGTGTCTATAATCAGCGCAACTGGAGATTACATGCATACAGGTATTGCATATTTTCCTGGGCCTAGGGGCCCTAAATGTGCGAGGTCCCTAAATTCGCGAGGCACCTAAAATGGGTGTGTCCCAATAGAAAATGGGCATGTTCTCGTAAAAATGGGCGTGGTACAGTAAAGCGCAGGGCCCCCATAAGTGCAAGGCCTGCGGCATATGCTGCATCTGGCATGTGGTTAATCTGGCCCTGGTTTGGAAGTGTAATTGTAATTTGTCAAATATTTGACTAATCGTCACCATTCAACTGCAGTTGTGTGAACTGTTAAAATCATGGCCTAAAAGCCAGGATGTTTTGTGTACGATAAATATTTCGCTGATCATGAGCAATTTCACCGTCCAAAAGCCGTCATTTTCAATTTGACACCTTAAATCAAAATTGACCGTCCAAAAGATGGCTGTCTGGCTAAGATTGTGGCTCCCCCATTCTGTTTATACTGGGCTTGCTGCTATTTAAATAACATCTTAGCATGCTTAATTAAACCAGCTACTAGTACTTCAACAAAATTCTAGCTTAGAAACTTCGACTCACACAAATTTGTTGTAAAATCACTATCTCTTGCTTTTACAGATTGAACAAACGAGTCTGAAATAATCATCGGAGTGCAGGCCAAGTCACATCCATACCTAATAAGCCAATTATAAGACATATAACATTTCAACATATTGACATAAAATATAGGTTACGTACAATAAGAAATGTTCAATTACACATGCACCTATTTTATTAACTAGCTGAATGGCAACTCTTTCAAAGCCAGCCAGATATATCAATTCCCTCAACATGTAAATGTTCATGTGATCGATCCTTTGGTGAAGATGAAATTCAAGGACTTTTCCAGGACTTTCAAGGTCCTTTGTCAGTAAGTTCAAGGACCTACACTGTAGAACTGGGAAAAATCTTTGAAAATGGCATGGATTTGCCCAGCAAATAATTCACTTTATTCAGTAATTTTAATCAAAATCACTAATGTTGGCACAGTTGGAGGTTAAAGAAATTCATTCAAGGAGTTTCAAGGACTTCTAATGATTTTCAAGGACTTTCCAGTCCTGCAATTTTGTTTTTCCATCAAGGACTTTCCAGGATTTTCCAGGCCTGTGGACACCCGGCCTGTTATTAATTAATGATGCAGTACAGTCCGTATGTAAACAAAGGCTTTGTTTACATTTTGGTATCCAAAATATTGAATTTTATTCAACAACTATTTATATTTTCATGATTCTAGAGTATAATAAATTATCAAGAGACAACAATCAAGCTTTGCAAGAACATAAAATGAAATAAAAATCTAAATAAACTGTTTGTAAATAAAAAGAGGGCTCCTTTGTGCACATGCACAGATCGGACTGTACCACATCTTTATGCACCTATCAATGTTAACCCCCAGAGGGGGGGGTCGGGCATATGTGGGGTATTTGATCATCAATTATATCCCCACCCTGGGGATTTTGATCAGCATTTTGGCCCCGAGTTGGGGCAATTTGAACCAAATGACTTTTATTAATATAGTAATTATTGCAATTTTTTGCAAAATGTTGGGGCATTTGACCAATATTTATTGCCCGATGGTTGGGGCATTTGATTGAAAATTTGCTCAAAAAATCAAATGCCCCACCTATGCCCGACCTCCCCCCCTCTGGGGCTTAACATTGATAGGTGCATAATACTTGTCAATATGCCCAAGACAATCTTTGAAGACATGCAGACATTTTTCTCCACAGGTCAATAAAATCAATGGTGGACATAATGTCGCAAACTATTGGGAGGATGAATTTTAATAGGTGGGGGTAGTTGCCCTGCTACCCCTAACCCCCGAGCTTAACCAAACTTCGAAGGTTTTAAAATTGCCCCACCTTCTGACCAAACATCTGAATGGTAATCTAGAAGAAGAGAATAAATTATATATTATACTGGATACACTTAATTGATAATTGAAATTTAGAAATGTTTATGTAATTAATTAAATTGTTTATGTACTAACTTGGAATATCTAACCATAGGAGCACATATTCTCACAATTTCTTTCTCGTGAAAAAGCTCTAAAGGTTTTTTCCATTCTTTCAAAATGTTTTCACCGGTTAATTCCATATATCTGTTAATCTCTGCTCCATAATTACAAACTCTTGTCATCTACTCATGATTGTTTGAAATATAATAATCAAATCACTATATTCACTTTATTTCTTGTGTCTGACTTTTACATTTGATTCATTGTAAAATGAAGTAAAACTAAATAAACAAATCAAATGACCACATGAACTGCAGGCGCATATCGTTCAGGCTTCAGGCTTCAGATATAAATAAACTGGAAGGCTAACTCAGGGGGGGGGGAATTGAAGCCAGTGTATTTTAGTTTTTCTGAGTTATGAGCAGAAATACTCCACACTGAACGTTGGGCTATATATCAAATTGAAGCTATTGAAAAACGCTATTTGGTGTAGAAATTTCAAGACTTTAGCTAAAAGGGAAATATTGAAAAATTACAAACATAATTACCGAAAATTTGCCGTTTTGCAGTTGTTTTTGTATTTTTTAAATATTTTTCTTTTCACTGAAGTCTTGAAATTTCCACACCGAATAGCAATTTTCAATAGCTTCAATTTGATATATAGCCCAACGTTTGGGGTCAAGTATTTCTGCTCATAACTCAGAAAAACTATTTCGGCTTCATCAAATCATAGGCCTTCATCATAGCAGTTAGCCTTCCAGTTTATTTATAGTTCAATGGGCCAACCTCGTTCCCAGGGTCTGGCTTCAGGCATAGATGAATGTGTCTGTATGATGATATACATCATAGTCTTCATAGATTCAAGGATAACCGTATGATGATATACATCAACAAACCAAGAGGATGGGTTGATAACAAAGCAGGGAAATGAATATAACTGGAACCGGAACGCTACATCCAACAACTGATCCAACAATACCGCGATCAAACCGAAAGCGCATGCGCGAGTCATAATGATATTAAAAATCTGAACTGATAACTCACAAATAAAATCACAGATAAAATCTAAAAATCACATGCGCAAAATCAATCTGACTTTTAGAGATCAAGATTTAAAGTCACTTAAAGTTACAGTAAAATATTACTGTAAAAGTTAATAAGTTATAAATACACTCTCCGTCTCTCCCTTTCATACATCTCGCCAGCCACTTAATTTATATACAACCGATCCTAGTCGATAAAATTATACGTCTCAGGCATTGATATGGTCTCAGGACCTATATGTTGGCAGGTTTGCTTGATTGTAAATGAAGGTCGTGATCTATAAATTTTTCATGTTTTCAGGCACAATGCGCGGTCATGATCAGCTCAAGAGCCTAGCCACGTTTGAGAGGTGGACTCCTCATCCATAGAACAGCGGTGGATTGGATTGATGCACTTGTACAAACCGAAGTTATCTTCCCTACGCCCATCGCATTTTATGCTGTTTAGGGGCTTGAACGGGCAGTCTTCAAAGCTGTGCAAAGAATCGTGGTGAAATGATCGATTTTTATTTTGTTTCAGCATAGCCTCACAATGTGTGCAATTATAACCGCGTACATTTATAAATTCAACCTCCTTGCATCCATTTTCACGAAAGCTAAGTATATCGACCTTGGTTTTCAAGCCTTCCATGTAATCTGTATAGTTTAGACCGTCAGTTTCATATCGACACGTCATTCGCCATTTTGAGGAATCTTTCTGTATGGACTTCATTTTGAATATTGAAAGACGATAAGACTCCCATTGGGGAGTTTCTTCATTTTTAGGATGGTCTATATAAAACGATTTCAGCTGAAACTCGTCCTTGTTTTTTAATTGGTAGGATTGAATGAGTGTCCAAGACATGATTGCTCCGTCAAAAGTCCAGTTGAAATCGCAAAAAACCAGGAAGGGTTTGTCCATGTCATCAATAATTGTGTATTTACCTGACGCTGGGGCGTGGTCTGCGGTACCGCCAATGTAACCATGACACGATTTGATTGGCTGTTCACAGCGGTTTCCACGGTAACCAGGGGCACAGACACATGTGAAACGGGGCGAGTGCAAGATATCAGATGAGTAACTAGGTTTACAACGTCCATTATGAAGGCAAGGTCCTGATGTCAGACAACAGTTTGTATTTCGAAAGCAACTCTTTTGAACCATCGCACCGTTCTAAAATTTATAATAACAAAAAATTGAATCAGAATGAACTGCTACAGCATCAGATCATACATCAGAATTTTATAGCAGTTCTACAATTTTACGCCTTCATCTTTTTATTCAAGATCAATTTGCATAAACGTTTATTTAAGTAAAAATGGATGAGTGTTTGGATAGCGTGACAACAATTGGCGTTTCCAAATTAGAACTATTTTGTATCCGAGCGACAACGGCATTCCTAAGACTTAATTCGCTTCTTAGGTTCTTTGTATTTAATAGTTTGCGGTTATGATAATCTACCAGTAGTTAAAAGGTCCAGAGACTGCATTAAAGTCGTTTTCCATTGCGGTCGCATTCGAGTGGCACGGGCAGTTATACGGAATTACATTTGCCTAAAACTGTCGTATGAAACCTCTTTACGACTCACCTGCATTTGCAGGTTGCATGCGACTGTTTTAGGCAAGAGTTGTGTGGCGTAAAGCAGCCTTTAGAATAATCATGTCAATATATAATGGTTATCAAATTGTAAACTAAGCTAAACTCCTACTGTAAAAGCTAATAATGCGAGTGCGTCTGCTCGCAGGGAATGTAAAACCAGACATTCCAAACCTGTTCTTGGTTCCTTTCTAAGGCAAAATATCCACATGATCCCTTTACATTTTCTATAACCATGGAACTGTTATACGACAAACATAAACTGCAGGTTTTATCATCACCACACATCTGAAATGATCTACATGTACAATTCATCAGACACTTTGCAAGACAATCTGCAATTGTTCTTTCTGACGTTTTCCGAAAACTGCAACCATGAAGAATTTTGTCTCGACACCTCGTCACTTTGTACAAAGCCACGCTTTCTACGGCGATGTTCAGAATTGTCATCGCGCAGAAAAACACACTAAAAACGTGGCATGTTACAATGTTTAGTTCGCATCGAAACTTTGTGAGTCTGAAAGTTTGTCAGTAAAGAGTAAATGAGTCAAGTCAAGTATTTCTATCTGTGAATACAATGTAGATATTGTAATAGACAGTCAGGGGCCGGTTGTTCAAAAGCTGGTTGGCTTAATCCCAGGTTAACGAAAATTTCAAAGCAATCTTCCCAAGAGGAGACAGATGCCAACATGTACTACTTTACCTTAATGTCTCCGGCCACATCCAGAAAGTGAAACAGAAATTAATATGACAAAATCTTCAATTATTAAAATTTGACGCCACCTTTCAAGGATCTCTTTCTCGCAACGTTTCAACGACTCTATAAACCAACCGGCAACCGTACGTTTGTGCGTCACTCTGTCCTAAATGTTGTTTGCCTTCTAGAACACTTAGAACGTCATTAATTTAAAATTCTAGCAGGTCAACATATTGAGTATGTTTTATACATGCATTAATTCTACGACGGCTTAAAACATTAATAGCTTTAGATAATAGCTGCAAGGAACATTAATAATTAATTATTATATATAACGGTTTAGTGCATTTATCATAAAATAGTGAGCTTATAAGCAAGCGACATTTTGTCAGGGACTGCATGGATTAAAATTGTGTTTGCGTCAGTTTGTGGCAATCTTGAAACACATATGACACACGAGCGCTGTGGTGCAAAATGCTGCCAAAATTAGTTATAATTATTATTTTCGTGCGACGTCCGTTATTGCATGCATGAGGAAGTATAATCTGTATAAACAATTTGTTGTTTTAATAATTAAATTGTGAATCTTTGCGGTTGTTAATTCTATTAACTCGAACCCCTTGCAGCTTCGTGTCCGACCGCGCAGACAAAAACAATAGAAAGGGGCTGAAACAGACGTCCAATAACTCCATACATCCCAATAGAGCTTTCCCCTTTTAAGTGAAATTTTGATCTAGACAAGCCTGGACAAAAATTTCACAGCTTGAAAGAGCATCACAAAATTAGTAATATTCCGAAGTTTCGTTTAAAAATGTTGTAAAATGCGGATAATATAGCCATGCGAAGTTTGCAATTTTCAGTCATTTTGTATTACAAACGGGAAATTGATAATCAGATAATCAGACTGATTATCAATTCCATTTGTAATGCAAAATGACTGAAAAAACGGCAAACTTCGCAAGGTTATATTATCCGCATTTTACAACATTTCGCAACGAAACTTTGGAATATTACTCATTTTGCGATGCTCTTTCAAAGCTGTGATGAAATGTTTGTCAGACTTGTCTAGATCAAAATTTCACTTAAAAGGGGAAAGGTCTATTGACTTTTACATATTTTTTATGTTGAGCCAAGTTATTTATCCTAATCTCTGTCGCAGACGTTCTTATGGCTCTAGTCCTAATTGGGTGAAACTGTCGCATGCCCATGCAACCTGCAAACGTAGGTGAGTCGTAAAGAGGTTGCAAACGACAGTTTCAGGCAAAAGTTGTATAATGGTTATACATATTGTAAACTAAGCTAAACTCTTACTATAAAAGCTAATAATGTGAGTGCCTCTGCTCGCAGGGTATATGTAAAACCAGACTTCCCAAACCTGTGCTTGCATGGTCCCTTTCCAACGCAAAATATCCACATGATCCCTTTATATCTTTTATTTCTTTTATAACCAAGGAACTGTCATACGACATAAACTGCAAGTGTTATCTTCACCACACATCTGAAATGATCTGCATGTACAATTTTTCAGACACCTCGCAAGGCAATCTCCAATTGTTGTTTCTGACGTATTCCGAAAACTGCAGCCATGAAGAATTTTGTCTCGACATCTCGTCACTTTGTATACAAAGCAGCCTCTCTTTCGGGGATGTTCAAAATTGTTATATGGCGCAGAAAAACACACTAAAACGCGGCATGTTACAATGTTGTTAGTTGGCAACGAAACTTTGTGAGTTTGTCAGTAAAGAAGAGTAAATGAGTCAAGTCAAGTATTCCTATCTTCAAAAGCCCTAATCCAACTGTAAACAACCGGCCCCAGAGCAAGAGGAGAAAGATACCAACATGTACTACATTACCTTAATGTCTCCCACATCCTGAAAGTGAAACAGAAATTAATATGACAAGATCTTCAATTATTAAAATTTGACGCCACCTTTCGAGAATTTCTTTCTTGCAACGTTTCGACGACTCTATAAACCAACCGTACGTTTGTGCGTCACTCTGTCCTAAATGTTGTTTGCCTTCTAGAACACTTAGAACGTTATTAAAATTCTAGCAGGTCAACATATTGAGTATGTTTTATACATCATTAATTCTTCGACGGCTTAAAACATTAATAGCTTTAGATAATAGCTGCAATTAACATTACTAATTAATTATTGTAACGGTTTCAGTGCATTTATCATAAAATAGCGAGCTTAAGCAAACGACGTTCTTGTCAACACAGACGTCAGATTGCTAAGGCGGGGCTGGATATATTAAAACTGTGTTTGTATCATTTTGTGGTAATCTGCAGACCTCTCAACTTTGCAGAGAAGTTAAGAGTGAGATTGGGGATGTGGATGACACCTTTGTAAAAGTCCGGGGGTCTGAAATGGCATTTCGTACATTATGAGAGTTGGTGTTTTTTAATGAAATACATTGCCTCATAAGTCATA